ATTAAGATTTTCTGTTCTAGTAGTAATAATTGTATATAATATATAGCAAGTACATAAAGATTTGTCACGTGTGTTCATCTAGATTTCTATTGGCTAACTTTGCTACACAAAAATATTGTACCAATTATACAGTATTTTTTTAATTATAATTGCCCATCCCTAGTTGCGCGATACATATTTAAACGTTAACTTTTTTAGCCAATCAGAATTCTCATCAATCAACAGGCACATACTAATCAAAACAAAATAAATACCATCAGATGATCCTTAGTATTTTGATAATAAAAAATTTTTACACAGTTAGTTAATAGTATCTTTGATTATCTAAATTCCACACAACAAAAGCATTGGAATTACAATAAATTTTTGTTTAAAAATCGTGTTTTATTAATGAACGACCAGTCAAGTTCATAATGTACAATACCTTACGACGCTTGCTCTGCTTGTAATGTAAGTATGATCCGAACTAATTTGACTTCATAGCTGGTTAATGAAATTTGACCTTTATCTATATTATATAGGGTCTAAAAAATCAAGCAAAGCATCAAGTAACTCTTCGAACGATGTTAGGACCATTAAAACGAAAGAGGGAGGATGAAGATAATAACTTAAATGTAATTTTATTTTAAAAAATTTTTATACGAAAAATATCAGAGAGAGTTGATATAATAGAACAACTATAAAATATATTAAAAATCTTTTTTGTTATTTATTAATAGAAAAGAGATGAACCAATCTTCTTAATCATTTCGAAGCCAAATTATTCCAAAAAAAATTAGAATATAGTTTCGGCGAAATATCCAACTCACCGTGGAAAGAGAATGATAAACAAATAATGGTATATTTTTAAACTCAATATTAATATTTAAATTTCATGGATAATTTTAAAAAAATATGATATACTTTCTTTCTCGATGTTGATTTCTTCAGAGAAATGTAAATATCAATAGACTTGCCTCGTTCCATGGAAGTGCAACTTGATAAAAGAATTTAATATCCATAAAAAACGGAATTCATTACCGAGAAAGGTATTATTAATGAAATTTGACACAAAAATCGCGGTATTACGAATAGTAGTAGAGTATGGTTTAGTAAAGTAGTGGATTTGAGTATATAAAACTTGCATACTATACTCATAACATGTATTACATATAAAATAGTATAGTTGTAAAGAATTTAATTAAATGTGACCTCACGAAAATTCTACTGTAATTAAAATATAACGATATGCCCAAAAAGAATTTAGAAGTGTTTAAAAAAATGAAGATTTTGTGGGATTGTATAATTTCACAAATTAAGATTTTACGAGATAGATTTAATATAGCGATACGAAAACTATTGTTATAACCTTTTTTCCCACATGCAATTATGCTGATTTACCAAGTTCTTTGAGAATTGTTTTTTGATAAATCCATTTTTTTTTTTGAATGCCAACATAGAGTGTTGTGCTTTATAATATAAGAAATATTTCCGAACCTTCTATTTCAGGTGAAGATCTAGAAGTTTCTTGGAAAAAAGAACCCGCAGAAAACCTATCTACAAATGTATCAATGATGTCAAAATTCTCAAAGTTTTCATTAAAGGAATTATTTTTTCAAAGAAAAATTTTCTCTTTATCAGTCTTATTAAAAGAATTATATTCTTTGAAAAAATTTTCATCCTCAGAAGAGCTACTAATAGATTCCTCATCAAAACTAATATCATTCGAAGGTATCATCAATTCATTAATAGACATTTTTAAAAGCGATTTTTTAAAAAAAGAAAAAAATCATCGTTACGATCATTGAATTTTGCTATTTAATAGCCATATTGAACTTCGGGTTTAAACTATCAAACGAACATTATAAACTCTAAATATCAAATTCTATAAAAATTGGACCCAATTTTATAAGTTTAAAAAGCTGATACATTACTTTTCTTTAAATCGCATTTGCATACTATACACGATATATTAATTTATACGTAATAGTAACCTCATCAACCATGCACACGTGTTTGCTAATTTAACGTATTATACTCCACTACTTTACTAAACCATACTCTACCGCTACTACTATTCGTATTACTCCAAAAATCGTGGATTTATTATTATAATTAGGAAGCTTGTAAAAAAAAATCTTAATATTTCGTTGATCATATGATTGATGTTGATCTCGTTATACGTAGTAAAGTCATCAGCTGAGAAAAAATTTTCATTATAGTTTATATCGAAGAAAGGACACTGTTATTAATTAGATTGTATGAGTCACTTATAACAAAAGTTTAAAAATTATAATAAACACGCATATATAATGAAGCACATCATCATAATGTTTGTCAGAGTATTCAAATACTTGCCAAGTACTCGCAAAATGCTTAGTATTTATTAAAATTAAAGTAATGTTGGGATGTAATTACAAGTACTTATTTGTCCGGAGCGAAGCGGAGGACTGTTAAAATATTAAAAATTAAGCTCTTAATTTAATATATATTTAAAATAAAATTTAAGTACTTATTAATATAGTTATTTAGTGAATACAAGCTTGCAATTGGTACAACTTTCTGATGGTCTAGTACTTAAGTTTAAAGCCTAGATTTATCTTTCACCAAATTAAATCCGGACTTAACATCAATAACAGGTTCTAAACTTTCTAAACTATATTCCATTTCCTAACAATGGATTTTAACACCCTACAAAACTGTCATCGTTATTTCTATTGATTTACTTGGGACGAGTTCACTTGTAAGTGGCATTGCTATTCGACTTTGCCATCACATGAGCCATTACATGAATTACAGGGATGGATAAAATCAAGTATCAATATTAAGTTATTTTATTACCGTCATCATTATCGTTATCGTTATTGCTATTGTAAAATTTTATAGATATCGTAGTCAAATACTTTGATACTAACTGTACCATATATTATTGTCTAATGTTAAAACTTATTTCTACGTATATATATATTAATGTGTTTGAGGATATTACAATTTATGCTTTCATAATAACTTTATCATAAATTGTTATAATTTGGGAATGCATAATTATTAATAGATCCTTCAGATGTTTATTTTTAATTTGATCCAATTTTGGAGTTGAAAGTGATATTTTAAGCCAGTGTCGATCTTTTCGTAATTCGGAGATCCAAGGTGAAGGTCTTGTCTTCAGATTAAGGATACGGATTGATGAACAAATCATGGGTCAGGGTCAATCATAAAATAAAAAGCTTGAGCCAGTCGACCGGGCCGACCTTGCTAGTACAATTTTTCTGATCAGAATTATATCAAACGTGTATTATGTTGATTAATTGTCTACTTGACTGAGCATACTCGAAAATTTCTGTGCCTTATATTTGTTATTTGCCAATTTATCATCTAAATTAGCCGATTAGTATATATCTAAATACATTATTATAAACGACTAACGGATTTTTATTTAGTCTCTTGGCCTGAAATATGCTTTATAATAGAATTGTTTCCAACACTTATTATCAATCAGCCCAGCTCATAAAGGTGCTGGCCCTCCCATAGACCTGGCTTGGCTGTTGAGCCGGGGCTAGCTCGTATCATTAAACTTTGGATTAGGATTAAACCGCTGAGTAAAATAGGTATAAATGTTAGTTTAAACAGAAATACGTATCTGGTATAAATGTGTATATGGAAATGTTGTCACTGGAAAACAGGGTTGGCACATTTATCCGTTGGGACCATCGGAACAAATGGAGAACAACTCCATTGACATTGCTTTATTGAGAATAATTTCTGAATGGAGCCAATGGAAGCCAACCAACTCCATTGACGTTGATCCATTTGACCTGTTTATCAACAGGTCGTATGTGAGGTTAGAGATTAGAACCCTATTCTTCATCAGCTTTGTTAGATATTTCTATTGGAGCCATTAGTTCTCCGCTGGTTCCATTAGGTTCTCTATTAGTATCATTGGCTCCATTGATAATTTTCTCAATGGAGTATATCCATTGCTAACCTTGCTGGAAGACCATGGGAGATCACTGGAAGACACTGGAAGATCACCGGAAGATCACTAAAAGTAAAATTATAGTGTTATTGGAACTTTTGCTATTGTGAAATCTCACTAGAAGGCCAGAAATTCCCATTGGAAGCCAAAATTAACAACACTGCTTAGTAATGTAGTATATGGGGTGTTACTCATTAAAACGGACCATTTTTACAGAATTTAATTGATGATCTACAAATAGATATACTATATTGAAAATTTGTCCAAATGGGCCTTTTTAATGTGTAACCCATATAAAGTACGTACGGACATTTGTAAACCTGATGCTATCCATGTGATTGTGTTACTGAACACGTATCAATTTCTCAGGCGCTATCACTATGGTAAAAAAAAAATTTCATTTACAGATTTTTATTCTGCAATACTTTAGTTAATGTTAAATAAATTCTGAGTATAAGTTATAAAAAGAAGACAAAAAAAATTATTGAACATACACGTTTAGATGATGACGATAATTTAGAATGATCAATAGTAGATGATTTCTTGGGCTCTGCACTAAGACGTTTTTTATTTATCAAAATGAGCCTCGAGGCTGAAAGTTTATTTGTAAATGTATACTATATATATTAGAACTTGGTCATTTAAAAGAATTAACGTTAAGTGTGATTAATAAATGATTAATAAATGATTCAGTTATCATTACAGCATTATGTTTGCTTATTCAATAAAGTATTTAGAAAACTCCATGGTATATACGTACGCAGCATATTTTTAAGTAACCGATTTTAATCGACATGTCACTTTTTTTTTTACAATGATATTTTTGGGTATGTAAACAAACTATCTTTCTGCATGCATTTAGTACTCCGCCACCAATAATAAATTGCCGATCATCAAACGTTACATATAAGTATCAAATACCCCCGCAGACATTGGGCCTTATAATATATTCACATTTCTCCTACTTTATATTTTTTTTTCATTCATTCATTCTTGATTTTTAGTGTTATTATTTATTTTCAAACTCTTCAAACACGTTTAAATTATGGCTAAAAATTCTAGAAACAAAGATGATTCTATTTCGCTCAAATATACTACATTTGGATTAAAATCTTCTAAAGAAGATATTTATACAGAAGACGAAATGAACGCTCCACTACTATCAGATAATTCTCGTAATGAAGGCATTTTAGTTATTGATGAATCATCCGATAATGCTTACTTAGAAGATGTTGAAATTGCGAGAATGCCACATCATGGTGGATCGGTATTCTCTAGTTTTTTAAATATGGCAAATAGTATTATTGGAGCTGGTAAATTTTTAAATTTTTTTTTTAAAAAAAAAACTCTTTATATACACATTTTTTATAAACATATACATTTATTTATGCTATATTTATTATTAAATTCTATATATATATTTTTTGAAAATAGGCATAATTGGTAAGCATCGTGATATTGAGTTAATGTAAGAGTTGCATTCAAACAATTTAAATTTAAAATTATATATATTAGGTCTTCCATATTCTTTTCGTGAAGCCGGAATATGGTCAGGGATTATATTATTAATTGGTCTTACAATGGTAGTAGATTGGACGATTAGACTTTTAGTACTTAACGCAAAATTATCTGGAAGAAGTTCTTATCAAGATATAATGCAATTTTGTTTTGGAAAAAGTGGAATGGTAGCCATATCATTATTTCAATTTGCTTTCGCTTTTGGAGGTAAAGTTTTTTGTTTTTTTATATCAAAAAAAAAAAAAAAAAAAAAAAAAAAAAAAATTTATAGCTTTTATCAAATCTCTGATTACATAATACTTATGATCAGTGTGAACTCTCGTTACCCAGGGATGTGCGCTTTTTGTGTTATTATAGGTAAGCATTAAATAAATTATTTATAATTTGATTCAAGAGAAAAAAAAAAAAATTTTAACGGTAAAAGATTATAGGTGATACGATTCCCGAGGTTATAAAATCCCTATTTCCCGGAATAACTAATATTCCAATTCTCTATCTCTTCGGAAACCGAAACTTTGTAATCACCATTTGTACTGTTTGCGTATCGTACCCATTAGCTCTTTATCGTGACATTTCAAAATTGGCTAAAGCAAGTGGTTTGGCCTTGATTTCTATGGTTATTATTGTGGTTAGTGTCGTTATAGAAGGTCCTCAAGTAGATCAATCACTCAGAGGTTCGGAGAATGGAAAATGGGCTTTTATACATGATGAAGTTTTTCAGGTACTTTTTTTTTATAGTTAATAATTTTTTTCTTTGTTGCTTACACTAATATGCTAACTTAACTTTATTATTAAAAATGTGTATTTTATCAGTCAATTGGAGTTATCAGTTTTGGTAATAAATTTATACATTTGTTAATGAAGGAAATTAATAACATATTTTAACATCATTATTTCTCGTTATTTTTCTAGCATTTGTTTGTCACCACAATAGTTTACTTATTTTTGATGCATTGCATAAGCCAACTATTGATCGGTTTGCAACCGTTACACATTTGTCAACCTTTGTATCCTTGGTATCATGTATGCTAATGGCATTATGTGGATATTTAATATTCACTAATAAAACAGAAGGTATTAAAATGTTACATCTTATTGTTATTACTTTATATTATTTTTATGTTTAATTTATTTATTTATATTTATTTATTTATTATTATTTTTGTAATCACAGGCAACATTCTGAATAACTTCCCAGGAGATAATGTTATTATAAACATAGCTCGCTTTTGTTTTGGATTCAATATGTTTACTACATTACCGTTAGAATTATTCGTGTGCAGAGAGGTATAATTAATTTGCAATAATAGTAAAAGAACTTCATTTAATTTATAATATTTATGTGGATTTTTTTTTTTCAGGTGATCAATAACTATTATTTTCCTAATGAACAATTCAATGTGTTACGACACGTAATCATAACTACCCTTCTTGTTGGAGGTGCTATGATCATTTCTCTCTTAACAGACAATCTTGGTACAGTACTTGAACTTACTGGTGGATTTTCAGCAACTGCATTAGCTTATATTCTACCTCCAGCATGCTATTTAAAACTATCTTCAGGCAAATTATGGACTTTAAATAAATTACCTGCAATATTGTGTGTGATATTTGGTATTTTGGTTATGGTGTTGAGCACTATGTTAAGTATTGCAAATATTATAGACGGATGGATAACACCAGACAATTAAAAAGCAATAAATATTTGAAAAAAAAAGGTTTTTATCTCAAAGATTCACCTAAGAAACTACTTTTTTTTTCGTGCTTTAACAGATAGTTTCTTAACTATATACCACCTAACCTCAAATCCTAAATAAACAAATCTTTAATACCGAATTTTGTGAGTTTCATGTGATCGGAAAATCCAACCTACACCCTGGATCCGTAGGATGGATATTCATTGTATTAGATGTTTTAATATTTTTGTAATTACTATAGTGTTAGGTTTAGTATGCGACACGAAACTTTAATATAGAGCGCATAGACCATAAATAAATTTATAATAAATTTTTTATATTAGTTAAATGTTTATTACATCTTTTCAGTCTTTTTAATGAGATCCTTAAAATTTCGGAAAATTCGATAAAAAAAAATTTTTTTTTATTGAATTTAGTTTAGGTAATAAAGAAATTTTTCGTTCAAGGTTTAAAAAATTTAGTCACTGTTTTTCATAATCTTTATTACTGAAAAAACTTGCTAATCTTTTTGAACTTTTTGAAACATTTATTATAAAACGCGGTTTTGCACCTATTATATATTTTTATATTTTATATATATAATTTTTAGCTCAAATTTTTCATGTTGGGGCTAGTATTGGGTTAGAATTAGTGTTTGGAAAAGGTTTTGGGGGGCGTAGAACATTTTTATTTAGAATACCGTATACTAATTAATTAGCCAGTTTTTAAGCTAATACAACATAGGTAGTAAATCACCGTAGGTGCAAAAGTGTTTTGAAATAAGTACATTAATGAAAAAGCTCGGAATTTTTAATATGAACCAAAAACAAACAAGCTTCTAACTAGGGTTCTGCCTGGAACGGTACTATTAAAGCATAGTTCGGCGCTTGAAGAACCTTATTTCTAACGGATAAAAACATCGTAATAAATTGGTTCTTATAACCCAGCTGAGCCAAATTTTACAAAATTTTTTTTTGCTATATTTACTATCCGAGTGGGGTTTTTTAGGTGTAATTAAAAAAGTCGGATTGCCGGGACATTTTTTTGAAAATTTAAGAAATTTTACGTATTCGTTATCGTTAAGAGAACCAGAAAATTAACATTGTATGGCCTAGTTTTGATTTTATTGGTTAATAACTATGCGTGAATCCAGTGAGGGAGTTTATATTAACACTGCTCGTACATAACTTAGTATCCCCAGCCCCCATGATTAAGACCCGGGTATTATTCACTATCACTGCTATCTTGTTTCTTGAACAAGATCCGGAGTATAACTATAATGATTTACTACTTTTAATAATATAGAGTTTTTGAATATGACCTTGGTAATGAACGATACGTGTACGTTGAAAAAGCGTCTCACACAAATAAAAATCAAAAACTAATATCAAACATGATCTAACACAATAAATTCTAATAATGGAAAAACCTAGTTCGAGACTTGATTCGAGAAATAAGAATTGTTACTATTAGAGTTCTCGGATTCAAAGTCACGAGTTCATATTGATTCGAGTCTTTACTGAAGGAATCCTAATGTATACATTTAATTATATAAACAAAGTTTATCAATTTAGAAAACTTTTTCGACCGGATAAGGTGCAATTCTGGGATGGAGTAAATTTCGATTATTACGTACGTACGTAGTAGTAATTATGATAAATTGATATAAAGATCGCAATCAATAAAAAGAGAGTTCTCAACAAGTAAAAAGATATATTACTATCAGCGATGGCAATTGAAAAATTGGAAAATTTTGATAGATTAGAAGAATTAAAAGGTTCCAATTTCAATAACGAGTATACTGTATATATTGGAAATATAGATATATGTAAGATGTTATATATTGAAAGTTATTGGAAGCTTCCTAATTCAATAAAACACATCATTGATTACTGTCACAAACAACCCAAGTATACACTTTATTTCAATAAACAAATATTCCATGATCAAACAAACCATGAAAAACATTCGTGTCCTACTGATGGCATCTCGGAATAAATGAATGTTCATGAGATATTGTTTGCTAGTTAAATGTATACTTATGTTATGATTTAATCGAATTGTCATTAAAAAGAAGAGATCTATCTTTCGAAATCATTTTCGGATCCCTGCCAGTTCCCTGCTAGAGTACAACTAATAATAGCATAGTTATCTATAATGACATTGAACGATAACAAAGATTAATAAATTTTTGGTACGTACACGTAATTAAGGTAAGCCAATAGAAAACAATGCACAACATAATAGTGCGAATTGTAATATGTGATGCATTCCCTAAATGTTACAAGTTTATCAAAGAGATGCATCAAAATCTCGTACAAAAAACGGTTATTGGTAATAATTAAATTACCCTTTGTTTTTTCTTTTGAGAAATAAAAAAATTTGATCGGTCAGATATTTTTGGACGATGTTCTACATATCCGGGTACCTGCAGAAGTGAAATTACTGATTATAAAAAATAATATAGAAGGAAATTTTATTAAAATTATGTACGTATAACTAATGATATACGTAGAAGGAAATTTTTATTAATAAACTAATAATATAGAAGGAAATTTTATTAAAAATTGATCAACGAAAATATTATACAGTCGACATATGAACCTCTATGTATTGTTCGCTATTTTTTGTATTAATTTAATGCAATATAGATCTGCATATATTAATTTGTTTTACATATCGTGTGCATATATGTAGTTCTCTTAATTACGTACGGAAATATCTCTAATACCGGTAAGTAGCAACTAATGACCTGACAAATATAAAAGACTCGTTAATTTCACCTCATCTCCTTTGAAAAAAGAAAAAAACAAACAAAAGATTAAACAAATTCGACAAAAAAAAAATTTTTTTATAAATTAATTTCTCATCACTTTTTAAAACCAACAAAATGGTGGCAAAAAAATTTATCCTTTTACCTATCGCTTTAGTTTGCTCAATTTTTATGAAATCGACTACCGCTGGTACCTGCTATTGTGACTTCACACCAGGCAATTCAACTAATGCAGCTAGTGCTGCCACAGGTCGACTTATGTGGATCGATAAAACTAATAATACATTTAATGGATGTGATTTAAGCGGACAACTTAATTCTGGCTGCACTGACCAAAATCCCACAGATTATTCATTCTTGGTAGTAAAACCCGCAGATAACAGTACAGTCCTAGACATGACACAACCAATTGATAGTAATATGCAGGTTAATCCTCCAGGAACTTCACCTTTTACTGCTGAGTTCTCTGGCGTAACTTGCGATACTCTTGTAGGAAACGCTTGTGTCGTTAAATTAAACCAAGCGCAAATTGGCTATGCTCTAATTCAGAATGCTTAATAAATGTAATGAAGCGAAGTTTGAGAATTTAAACTTTAATTTATTATAAAATAGATATCAATCATAGGCATATCTCAAAAAAATTTTTTTTAAAAGAGTTCAACGTAATTTTCATAGTAAAATTTTACATTCGAATGTTTTTTTAGTAATCCATATTTTAATATTTTACTTTCATAGTATAGACCATCAAATTTATATTTAAAACTTCTTTATAATGTAATCTTGCATTGACAAAAATTTTAAATTTATCATTGGAGTCTGTATCTAGATGTTATTGATGTATTTACCAATTTTCAAAAAATTCTCACATGGTAATAAATTTCGCATGATCTATGCTAAATGCTGGAAAAATTAACACGCATTTTATGCACGATCAAGCCAAAATCAGTTGTTCTCGTATAACTCAATAATCTTTTTTCAATTATTATATTGTAATCTTATTAATATTAGATACGTACTTTCATGAGAAAAAAAAACATGGTGTGTTGATCATATCAAAGGTCATAAAAACCGAAATGTGAATGAAAAAATGAATGCTATTTTTTATTGCGGTTTGTAAAATGTATTTTTGTCAAACTTTGTAGATAGCAGCTCACTATACAATTACTGATTATCGTTCGCGATTTTTTCTTAAGGTTAAATATTTTTATCGTGTTATTGCGATTTGCAAAAAGGTGTAATCAGATCACGATGTCATGGAAATTTTGCAGAATTTCACGATTTCACCACAAAAATCACAGGGTCACGTCTTTTTGCAATCACACATCACGGGGATCGGGAATCTAATTGTCAGACCCGAAATACGGCGAGTCTGTTTCTAAATCGAAAGGAGTCCGTGTAACCAAAACTTAGGTTATTTTAGGGTCGAAAGAGGCGTGTTAGATTTAGTCGAGTGGTTTAGGTTATTTTAGGGTCGAAAGAGGCGTGTTAGATTTAGTCGAGTGGTTTAGTATAGTTTTGGGACAGAATCAGGGTTTATATGGATTAGACAGCGTTCGTAGCGAGGGTATTTATCAAGCGTTAGGCTTAATATACGAAAATTATTAGTGTATGATTTGTTGAAAGTAATTAATCGATATATGAAAAGTGATAGATTTATTAATAGTAATTGTAAGGTATACGAAATAATTGTATGATAAAATGATTTAATAAAAGCAAAGGCGGGAGTTGTTCTTCCCAAGGGCCGAAAAGGCCTTTATTTATAATTGATAATTCTATTATTTGCAGTCCCAGGAATCCTCCATATCCCAAATATCATCAATAAACCCATTATCAGCCTTGTAGTCCATATCATTAAGATCCGCCATTTCTCCCAAATAATCCTGATTCTCCAGATCCGGCAGTTCTGACCTATCCGGGATATCTGGCAGATCTGGGCGGAAACCCCAAATTAAGATTTACCAAGTCACGTGGTAACGTGCCTGCCGTCAGGTCACGTTTCCGGTCTCACAATATGATTTGCTATGTTTTGATAAAAATTATAGTTAATTTCTCAATTTAATGTTTATGATGAGACCATTTTTGAATTCTGCTAGTCTGTAGAATTTGTGAATAATAAAAACGAACAGACATTGTCAAAATAATTCATTTAAAGATTGTGAAAATTTATATCATATGAAAAAAGTTAAAAATTGTATTGCTCGATCAAGATATAGTATATAATAGATGTCATAGTAGAGAATTGAAATGTAATCAAAAATAATTGAAATTGTTATTTTAAACAGAAATTTGTCGAATTTAAAGAAATTTCGAAGATTTCTATATGATGAGTGATCACAGTAATTTGAAAAGAACTATGTAGGACTTTTAAAATTTCATATTAAAGTAGGTCAAATTTTCAATATCATATGGGCTGATCAGACTCATTTGGTGTGATATAAAATTGTGATATCTGCATTGTTACACTAATTCAATAATCATATGTAATGTCTTTGTCCAAACCTTTTTTATGTCTTTTGTGCTCTAAAACCTATTCGACAAAAAGTTCTTTACTATCTCACAAAGCAAGAAAGCACCCACACAATCATACTATGCCTCATAGTTCTTGTTTTGAACTTCCTTCAAGTTGGTGTCTGTGTCAGTTTTGCTTAATCTTCCTTGCAAATGTAAAGTCTCATCTACATACTCACCAGTTAGCACAAGGCTTCAAACAATTCCCCGTGCTCTGTCCTAAAACCTTTTTTATTATGTGTTTCACCAAGAACCAGGGTTTGAACACCAGGTGGCCTAACAAAAATATAAATACACATATAAAGGACAGAATAGGTACCAAAGAATTGAGTATATCTTTGTGTATCCTGCTTAAGGTAAAAAAAAAAACAAAAACAAGAGGTGAAGTTAGAGTAATAACCAAAAAAAAAGATCTTGAAACATAGCAAATAATTAAAACTGAGTTTATCTTTATTTGAAAAGAGCGAATTACTAAGAAAGAATATAATAAAGAAGTTTATACTTGGACATATGGGGTTTTAAAGTTTACATTTGAAATATATAAGTGTAATGTAGTTGTTGTTTAAATTTTATTATTATTTTTAAGATTTATAATCTTTTTAGTGTAAGATAATGATATTTTATTTATATAATAATAAAGTTGTCTATTTTCATAAAAACATATTTTATAAGTTGCAGATTTTGAAGAATTACTGCCACTCATCGTTGTACCACCATAAAATAATTGAACATGAACATGATTTTTTTTTAACACCTGAACACAAAAACTATCATAAATATAGATTCTTTGATTTAAAAAAGTTTATGAATTTCAGAATATAGCATGCAAATACATGTATATATGGAGTTATATCGTCATGTTGATAGAGTTCTTCTTGTAGAATTTTTTCTTCTTTATTTTCGATTGTTGGTTAACAAAATTTTTTAACCTATTGCCATGCTGAAAGTTCAAAGTTAACAATATCTTCATCTGTTAAATTAATTTTATGCATTGTCTTATATAAAAAAAAAGTCATGCCAGAGTTTTTGTATTTTTTTTCCATGTTGGCCTAAAATAAATATAGTTACAAAAAATTTTTCTAGAATTGTTAATTTATCTGGCCCCATTAATGATATCCAATACTATTTTCCTTTTGGTTTTTCAGGTTTATTGAACTTAAATATATTGATACTAATAGAATAAATAGCTGATTCTACTTGTTTCCAAATTGTCACTTTATTGTTTTTTTGTTTTTTGTTAAACTAATAATTTAAAAAAAAGATATTCAAATAAAACATTTGTAATATAAAGCATTATGTGTAATTTATTTGGTATACAATATTGTTGTTCTAGAAAAAATAAAAGATTTGAATTTTTTCATCCTTGTGTATTACATAGTGTTCGAAAACAGATTAAAAATCCCGGTTGATCCAGGATTGATCCAAATCTGATCTGAATCTATAATTCAGATTGAATCTGACGGTTAATCTGTGGTTTGTCACAATATTTATCACAATATATATGATAAATTTGAATATATTACACATATTGTGATATAAAGTGTAATAAGTTCGAATTTATCACATGTGATGATTATATAAAGACGATCTAAAATTAGGCCCAATCCCACTCAATCTGGGCCCAATCTATGATTCAAGGTCCAAAACTAATCTGACAGTTTGGATCCACACAAATCCAAATCCGATCCATGCTGACTTTTTCGAACACTAGTATTATATAAATTTTCATAATCCTTATTCATAACCCAATGGTCTGTGCTTTTGCAATTGCAATATAAACAAAAATAATTTGCTGTTGGCCCTTTAGTACCAAGAATTAAAGATATAAATTTCCAATTGGAACTAAACCAAAACTCAATTTTCTAATGATTGTTATTTGAGTTAATAATTCTGCCCACATTTAAAGTTGTTAATTTGCTAATTAAAAAACTATATCAGCAGATTTACGGAATTGAAACTGGACCCTAAAAATGGTCACTAAAATACGTTTGTTTACAAAAATTGATTGGTCAGATGATGGTCAGATGATCAACATACAACTGATCATATAAATAAACTCAATAGATAAGCATTAACCCAATAGATCTTAGAGATAAGATGGTTTAACTTGCAAAATTATATGAAATTTGGGGTCTTAAAAAAAGGCCCAATTCCATAAAGCCGCCAATATAGTAAAAACTATTTGAAGAGATTCATATTGTTCTGTACTATCATAAAGAAAAATACAATATTGATTGAATGGGTTTAAAACTATATCATGCTTATTTAATATACACGCAGTTACTATTATATGATTATGGTGTTTGCCCACTTGTTTTCTATCACTATTTAATTTAACATGAATAAACATCCCCTAATTGTAAAACTAGTAATTTTCCATATATTAATTTAGATATTAAAATAAACAAAATATCTTTAAGTGATCTGTAAGCTCTATTTAAAAAATTAACTTGAGCTATATGAATTGGAATTTTATTATTTATAATCTTTGTTATTTCTTATTGATATCTCTTAATTTTATATTCATGCTCTATTTTAGGCATAATAGCTACAAGCTGGTAATATGTGTTATGAGAAATTAACAACTTATTGTATATGCAAACAATTAAATCTAAAAATTGATTTGATTAAGCTTTTTTTCAAATTCCAAATTTTGAAAATTAATGTGTAACTCATTTACATCTAGCTCTATAGATTTCAATACAGTATCATAAAAGTTATGTAGTTGGATTGCAGACTCAACCTCATTATGAATATTATAAGCCAAGGCTTTGAGGTGTTTATTTTTTTGTGATTCAGATTGAAGTTTATGAAATGCTTTTTTCGTGATTGAGCTTTAAAGTTTGATCTAGGTTTTGACGTTTTTCTAAACATTTTAGATTGAGTTCAAAAGTATAACCCCCAAAAATTGTGAATTACTATAACTCTCTTAGCTAAAACCTTAAAAATTTAACAATACAATTATTATATTAAAATAATATAATTTTAATATTATAATAATACAATTTATAAATTATATGATTTTTATATTATTATTATATTATTATTATATTATTATTATATAAATTATATATTATTATTTTCATTGTTATATAGCATTGTACAACCTATTAATTTTATATATTACAATATTTTTAAAATAATATTATTTTAATATAATTAACTATATAATAATAATACAATTAATTAAAATATAGTTACAACATGTTTACAACATATTTATAATACAATTTAATATATTAAATTAAATTGCATTGTAACTATATTGTAATTGTATTGTTAAAATCTATAACTGTAAAATAATAATATATAAGTCATATAATAATAATATAATAATTGTATTGCTAAATTTTTCAAGGTTTCAGTTAAGTTATTGATTGTAGTGTTTGAGTTTAGTTAGTTTTAGCTTAAAATGAATTAATCAAACTTTTTCAACGTATGTAATTTTTGTTTCTAGTTCCGAATGTTATACCATTCCGATCTAGCTTTCCGGATGATCATCTGATCTCAATCTGGTACACATTTTCCAGGTGCAATTATATTGGATTGATTATAATTATTCGCAACTGTATATTCTGCACATTGGTTTGACATTATTAAAAGTAAATGGAGACTTAGAGTTATCTGTGATTCAAAAAAATTGAGCATGAAATTATTCAAGAATTGATGAACTACTGTGAATTGGTTAAAAAAATCTCTCGTTATTGAATTGTTTGGGCGTGTCAAGAAATAATTATGGTGATTATATTATTGTTAGGATATTATGCCAAATGGTTCGTTACAACAAATCTTGTAGAAGTATCACAATTTGAATAGAAAGATAAATCAAATAATTATATTACGTATATAATTTTGGATCTTGAGTCGATTCCGTTCACAGAGATTTACACAGCGGAAACATTTTGCAAAAAAAATTTGCATATATCACTGATCAGGAGGATGATAATGAATATCGAAAATTAATTTTTGGAAGCTAATAAGACTAAACCAGAACAGATTAGACAAATACATTCATAAGACAGGATACCAGCAAACTATATGATTTCCAGATATATATAAAGTTTCATTGGCAACAAAGGCTTTATACTTTTTTACTTTCGTCAGACTTATCAATTATAGCGTTAGCAATTTTTATGGTGTGGAAGTTAGATAACCGAATTTATATAAATGCAGGGCAAAAATGACATATGAAGGATAAAGGTAAAGTGTTTATCGGTTACAATAAACCTGCGGAGATGAGTCTGAAAGTTGCTATCAATGTTAGATCAAAATTCTATTCACCACATCAATCATTAAGTCAACCGTTAGAACAACTGTTAAGTCAACTGGAACATATAACATTTACATCAACCGTTAGATCAACCGTTAAATTAACTGTTAGATCAACTGTTATATCAACCGTTATATCATATAGCATTCATTATATCAATCGTTAGGTCAACCGTTATATCAACTGTTAGATCAACTGTTATACTAACCGTTATATCATATCATCTATTAAATCAACCGTTATCAGCCGTTAGAT